AGATATTAATTTTGATAAAGTTCAACTTAGCAATTTTAAATATTTTGGAATCATATTCTTTGTGTTATATTAGCATATCTTTCAGTTTAACCTAAAGGGATGAAGATTTTCTCTCATGTTTTTTTTTCCCTATAAATTCTTGTGCCTGTATCAGAATCCAATTAAGGAAGTAATCAAGATTCACTGAATCATAAGAGTGGGGCCCTAACCTAAGACCGTTGTGCTTAAGAGAAAAGGAAACATCAGAATTTACGTACGCAGCAAAGGCCATGTGTGGACACAAGGTAAAGATGGCTATCTGCAATCCAATGCAAATCTTCAGGAGGAGATAAATATGCAGACACCTTGATTTGGACTTTCAGCTCTTGGAACTGTGAGAAAATAGATTTTTGTTGCCTAAAGCCCCTGTTTTGTGGTATTTTGTTATGGCGGTCCAAGATGACTAATGCAGGTGTCCTGAGTCCTCAGGGTTTCAGTTCTACTTTTTCAGGTTGTTTTACTGATACTAGTTGCTTGCTTTCTCATTCCTGCAAATAAGATTAAGATTGCAAATTTATACAAAATAAATCTTGGTGACTGTCTTATGTATAATTCCCACAATGATTTCTCTCTCTCTTTCTCTTTCTCATAGATCCAGATATATGTAGACAGAATAGAACTATTGATATTTCCTTCTGGAGAATCCTAATACAGTATCTTTTCCCATGCCACTACTTTTAACCTATGTTTGTCTATCTATCCATCTCTATATCTATCTATGTGTATGTGTATATGTATATATATGTGTGTGTGTATATATACATATATATGTATGTATCTATGTGTGTGTGTATATATGTATACACATGATGTTTGTGTAGGCAGAAGACAGTTGGGTTTTGATTTTGCCATTTAGTTTTAATGTAATTTTTGTTGTGATTAAATTAAAAATATCCTTCCTCTTTTGTATTTCATATTCTGTGTTCCTATTTTGTCTTTTAATGACTTTTTTTTTTTTTTTTGTGCCAGGATTGAACTCATGTTCTTGTACTTGCAAGGCAGGTGGTGTAACCACTGAACTAAATCCCTGGCTAATGACTAATTTTGTACTGAGCATTTTTATTACCCCATTTCATCTCCATGATTTTCATTTTACTAATTTTAACTGTGTTAAAATCTCCAGGGATTTTCCTTGAGTTTACAATATCCACCTTTAATTAATCACAGTCTACATACAATGTGACATTTAATTTATTATGTCATAACTGTGCCCAGCTGTAATTTTTGCTATGAACAGTATGATATCTTTATAAAAAGCTTTTTATATTTACCTTCCTTTATAAACATTTCCAGAATTTGTCACTTTTTTGGGTAGATTATGTTTCTGTTCTGTTTTCTTCCTTTTGCTTTGAGAACTTGTTTTGAAATTTGTTGTAGTGAGTTTGCTGTAAATTCTCTTAGCTTTTGTTTGCCTGGCAAAGAATTTAATTTGTCTCTAATTAGAAAAAATTTTCTCTTCTATATGTAATTCTGAATTATAGTAACTATTTCTCACAATGTACTCTTAATATTTCAATCATTTGACTTATTTTTAATTTTGTTGAATAGCTTCACATAGTACTTTTAATATTTCAATTGTTCAACTTATCATTTTTAATTTTGTTGAATAGTTTTATGTGTTTTTTTAGTGTAATGTGACTTTTTCTGTGAACTAGACATTTTTCTTTATCATTGATTTTTAGCATTTGAACTTTTTATTTTTTATATGATTTACAAGTTTTTTGTATTTTTTCTCCACTCCTCTTTAAATATTTCTTCTGCCCTATTTTCTATTTCTCTTTTCCTTCTAACTCTAACTGAAGTAATGCTATCCCATTTTATGATTTCCTAAAGGTATTAGATGTGTGCTTATTTTCTTTTTCACTTTCCCTTTCTCCTTTTAATTTTATGCATTTTCTCCTGGCCAATATTCAAATTCACTATTGTTTTCAGTTGTGTTGAATGAATCGACAAAGATATTGAAGATATTAATCACCTGTGCAAAGACATTTTATGTTCCTATCGTAATACATTTGATTCTTATTTTAATATCTTTGCTGAAATGCCTTTCTAATTGCTCATTTTGTCCATCTTTTCAACAATAGCTTTCAACAAGGTGGTATGCACATTAATCGTAATTATTTAAAGTTTTTGTTTTTGTTTGATAGCTCCAATAACTAGGTCACATCTGAGTTTGATTCTGTTAATTTCTTTGCTCCTAACTACTCTTCCCCTCTCCTCCGTATTGTTTGTCTTTGATATATGTTTGCATAGTGGAAATCTTGAATGGAAGTGTAGAAGCTAAGGTAAATGCTATTCACAGCTGTGACTTATCTCTTCTGCTGTACTGTTTATGTGGGTCAATCCCATCAGGGTTTCTGTTAGATTAGAGCTTTAGTATTTTTATCGTTGCTTTGATTGCATCATCACCTTCATTTCCTTCAGAACACCCATGTGTCATTCTCTGACTTGATGTTTTCATGTGTATCTGCCCCCAAAGTGTCTCTGTTCATCCCACTGACACTTTCCAGGGTGTGCTACTTTCATCATTCTTTGGTAAGTTTGCACTGAGAGGCATTTGGAGAGGGCGATCTCTGTTTTCTGCTACAGTCTGTGTCTTTGGTGGGCTCTGTTTCTGGAGCTGTGGAATGGGCCTGTGTCAGTAATCTGGTCACATTCTACCCACATGTATGAACTCTTGTGTGGAACTTTTTGCCCCTCTGCTGGCAGTAGAGACCCTTAACAAGATTGATATGTAAACCTGGGACCAATACTGTTTTCTCTTCTGTTCTAGCAATCTTCTAACTTTTTTAGATTTCCTTCTGCAGCAGTGTGTTTTCACTTGCACTCCTCTCCCCCACTGAATTGAGTTCTTTGGTAGGTGCCTGGAAAGGTATACAGGCTGTGCCCACTCAAAGGAGACAGGAAAAATAGAATACTTGCTCTAACAATTCATAAGAAAAAGCCTACTTTTGTATTGATTCGTGTCTAGCAATTTATAAACCAAATGTCCTTTCTGGTCAAATAAAATGAAAATGTTCTTTTCTCTATGTTTGGATATCTTTTAAGAAAAGTCTGACTTATTTTTCTCTTTAATCACATGATGAATGTTTTCTTGCTATTGATTTACATTTTTAATGTATAAAACATTGATGTAAATTTTTGGTATGTTTGGGCTGAAAAGTAAGCAAACACTACATAAAAATTTAAATTTATAATGTTAATTCAAAAACTATGTACGCTCAGCTAATTATCAGAAAAGCACACATACTTCATTTTGCCAGATATGAAGAGGTATAAAGCAAAACATTTATTTGGAAAATAGTCCTCAAATTTATTTTTTCAGATGTAAAATAAGAGTCAAGCTGACCATGTATGAGTTTGTTTCTATCTAAGTTTCTTAGTACCTTCACTGATTACACGGTATTCTTCATGCTTGTTAATATTCATCCTAAATACCATGATTTTTTAATTTAAATATGCTATTTGGAAAATAATATTCAAATAGGTGAAATTATATTTTTGCTTGGTATTATGTCAAATTCATGGCCCCATCCAGGGCTGGTGGGTTTAATCTGTAATTGCTTTGTAATATTAAGTTGCAATCACCCCTGCAGTAATTTAATATAGAAAATATATATCTTTATTTTGTATCTTTTTTTTTGCAGGGATTCTGGAACATATTTTTGTTGGACAATATAATTAAATATTATTGTTTAAATATCCCACTAAAGTAAGTCAAACAAATCAGCAAACCTTCTCTTGGATAGAGAAAAGAGATGGCAAGAGTAATGTAAAAATACTGATTTAAAGTGTTTAATTTGCCTGGTGTAGAACATTTTCTCAAATGCCAAATTCTGAAACTATGTCTAAGGCCTTTGCATCTTAGATTGTCTTCTGAGGGTTTCCCTGGAGATTTAAGAAACTCAGTGACAGTCACTTCATTTGGCACCTCAACGTTGTTCTTTCCTTTGTAAAGACCTTATAATCTAGGCTGCTTTCTGTTGTTAATTACAAATCAATTATCAAAAAGCTTTTATACAGCAGGCTCTTTGTCCCTCAGTAGAGTCACAGGTGGCATGAAAGCATAGGTGTGGACCAGAAAATGGATGAGACACAATTTGAGCACAAAAAAGTCTTGGGCCCCTCTTGGAATAGTTATTTTGGGCATGATAAGAGACACAGTAAGGAAACAGTTGGTTAAACAAATGTTGGCCAAATAGTAACTAATTCTTAAGTGATGAGCAAAGCATGCCTGATTCACGTCTGAATCACATCTGTCATTTCATCCGTTCTCAGATCTGGCTTCTCTGCTAAGCAGGCCTGGGAGGAGAGGCTGCTAAGCTGAGGTAGAAAGGAGAGGTTCATCTGGGAGACTGGAATGTGCTTAGGAGGGGGAAAAAAGAGCATGGAAGCACTGCGATTTCCCGGATAATTGTATCCTTGTCCTAATCCAGCTCCCTAGAACTGTGTCAGAGTTCAGAGACAGCTGGAGCATCAGGTATGCAAAGGTGCGCTGAGGCCTGCCCGCTTTCCTAAACAGCTGGGAGACAGAATCTCCAGGGTGAACGTTCCTCCAGGAGGACAGTGCGTGAGAGGGGCCCCTGTGTGCAGTTGCTCCTCCAACTTTCTTTGGAAACAAGGAAATCGACGAAGCCAAAGGAAACCAAAAATAAGAGACCAGCAAGAGCTCAGCGGGGATACTGATGGGGCTTCTGGAAATAACACAGTGAGTAGCACAGTAGGTACGGTCTAGAGGATCTCCATTGCACTAGTAAGGATTACAGTGCGCAAAATTCAGTGCAGTCTGAGTAGAGAAAGCCTCCCAGCCTAGCTCTGCACGCCGTCTGAGCCCAGTGTCATTTCCTCAGGGAGGCTTCCTCGGAACGTCCAGTGAGATCGGGTCTCCACTGCACATCCTCCGCGTCATTTGATTCTTAGTGTTTATGCATTGATATTTTCACTGACGTCACGGTCTCCATCAGACCCTGTGCTCAAAGAGGCGGAGGCCCACAGCTGTGGAGGATGGTGGGAGCTCCATGTTTATTAGGTAAGTTGGTGAGCAGACAACCGACTGAATGGTATTGTTGTTAGCTGTAGAAAACGTCAGAAACATCTCCGTGCATTTCTTCCCTGACAGAATCTGGGTGGGTTTTTAACCCATACTTGTGGGAGAAGCTTCATCTAGCCCCTGCTGAGGAGATTTGAGTTTGACTACAATATACCTGAGCGATAGGTAGAAATAGTGACGAAGTGTAATGAACAGATTAATTTAAATAGCTGATGCCTTAGAGGAGTTGGTTTGATTTTTACCCCTCACTGAACTGATTTAATTAACCACTTTGTTTCATGTTGTGTAGGTCTTACCATGTCTGCTGACACACCAGATTACTGTTTACCATTAGCGAGAGATCACCCCCAGGATCTGAAGTCTATTTCTTCAATTACCCTATGTGCCTCTGATTAGAATTTGTACCTTTTATTGCGTAGCTTTATGAGTTTGATCTTGTTGTTTTATGTGAAAATGGTATCAGGTTAAACATGCATTGAACACAGAATATCTTGCTTCTTAATTTTAACCCATTGTATGATTTTAATCACTCTGGATATTGTAAGGATTTCTAAGTGAAGCAGCAGTTTGCTGTGAATATTTCTGTCATTTCTGATGGATGGTTTCATGCATTTTAATCCAGTAAGCTACCTATGTCTGTGAAATCATGCTGTGTGAAAAAATTATTTTTCTCTATGTTATTTTTGGAGCCATTTTGCACTTTTTCCATATTTTTAGAACCAGTGCCTAAGAATAATTTACTAACACTATATGGCTTTTGCTTCTTAAGAAGTTATAATAACAGCAGATTATAGTCATTTGGTTTATCCTGTGGTAAGACTTCTGAATAATTTCAATGCAGTCGATTTGGTGTTTCATAATAGTACAGAATCCCATTGTGCTGGATCAGGAGTGAGTATGAGGCTGAGTGTCAGGGGCTGCAAATTCTGCCAACTGACACATGGATGGGTCTCCTGGAACCAGGCGATGCAAGTGCAGCTGTTAATGACCTCGGTACGGCCAACAGAACAGGGGACTTCGCAAGTGAAGCAGCTGTTTGACTCTTTTGGGAAGACAAGGTGGAAAGGCCTCCAGGTTTTCTACTTCTCGTTATTTTTTATTTTAAGCCAAAAAAAAATGGCTTTAAAAAAATTCAAAAATCCTGTACTTTAAAATTAGACAGATTAATGTGAAAATCATTTTTTGGCTACTAGAAGAATTTATCTCAAAGACCACCAAGCTAAGCATTCAACAAATAACAACTTTTACAGTAAAAACTAGAAAAACCATAAGTTAGACTGGTCTCTGACTTCTCTGTTGCTCAAAAACTCTCAAGCAGTGTTCTGCCTGTGTACTCTGACCTGTGCATGGATACACAGGTGTGCATATGTATATTAGGATGCTAAAGACATTCACCAAATTTCTGCATAAATATAGATGAAAATTGGGCAAAATCAGAACATTTTCTGCCACACCTATAAACTGCCCACCTCAGATATGAACTGGCACCCTTGTGGCAATTTTTCTGGATATGTAGTTTCTGTCTGCTGCCCCACCAAAATGCTCTCCAGGGTCTCTGTAAACACTTGAGACTAATCCGATAAATCCAAGTTATAAAGGCCTAGAATCACTTGCTGTCCTAGGTCTGTCTTTTGCATTTTAGTGCAGGCCTTCAATGCCTTACCCCAGTGGGATGTGTAATAAGATTAGGATAACCAGACCTGGGGCCTTGCCCTTGGAAGGGTGCAGTGGTCAACATTTATGGATAGATTTGAGAATTCCAGCTACTAACAAGACCAGCAAAACATCTCTGAGAGGATTTTTCAATCTCCTTCAAGGGTATGTATGGCTAGCTTTACAAATTAAAATGCTCTCCATCCTGTGTATGCTGTACCAAAAGTAACTAATAACTGGATCATTTGAAAACTTTTAGCCAGTTGTGTGGGGCGGCAGAGGGCAGATCATTAGATGGCGAAATGCGGATTGTTGAGACAATCTCCCTGCTCTAAAAGCTCCACTTGATGGTAACTTGTGCTTACTCTAAGTCTATCAATATTACAACACGTGTTGTTAATTTAACAAACAGCATTTTGACATTATCTTCAGTTTCAGGACTCTTGCTTCCTACAAAGTTGGCCAAGCTTTCGGCCTTCTTAGGGGAGGCCTCACTCTCATTGAAAGTTGGTGTTCTGTGGCTTACACATTCTGCTCCAAAGTCAGCTCAGCTGCGAAGGCGTGTGATAGCAATGCGGCTGCTTTTCCTCTGTTTCTCCCAGGGGGCTTCATACCACTGAGAAACGTTGTTTCTGCCCTGCACAAAGTAGTTGAGTTGACTTCTATAAACTGCACATTCCATCATGCATCCCCTGGCTACCAGCGCTTCTGACCTGCACCATGAACACCCTCGCTGCTGCCACGCTCTGCAGTGTTACCATGTTCTCTGGAGTATTTGACCCACTATGCCAGCAAAGACAGGCAAATCAGAGAACGCTTACCGCATAGTATTTTATAGTATTTTAGCCTGTATTGTCTTAGCACTCTATGTTCAGTCGTACATCAGGACTGCCATCTTCCTCAGTAGCCCCAAAGAATGAACTACTTTCAACTGATCTTATTGTATTTATCTCCTTTTGGCAATGATTTTCCTAGGGGGAAGCATCTGACTAGATTTGACTAACAAGACAAAGCGGGAAATATAGGAGTCCTCCAGAAAGTGTTATTCTTTCTTTTAAAAAAGGGAGCATATACTAAGTAAAGCCTCACTCCTGATGCCCTGACAACAGTCATGCTTCCTGTTTTAGGAGTGGATTGAGCAGCTGGAGCTGTAGCAGCTGTCTCAGGATTATGTGCAGCAGGCCTTGAGCAGCAGAGGCAATCAAATCAGACCCAGGTCTCGGACGGGAGTCGCTGAGCTGCCAACCACCAAATTTCATTTAAAATAAACAACAAATGTCCTTATGGATTACATTATGGGTCACCAAACAACAACCTGCAGGTCAGATCCAGCACACCATCTGTTTTTGTAAGTAAAATTTTATCGGAACACATCACTACATTTATTTAAGATGTTGCCTTGTGGCTTCTTTTTTTCACCATAGGAGAATTTATAGTTGTAAGTATCAGAATTGGGAAGTTTTAACTGGGGCCAATTGTAAATCTTAAAATATTTACTACCTAGTCCTTTATAGAATGAATGTGAACCTCTGCATGCCCAGGACTATATTCGAGTTTTCTATCATGGTCACCTCAGTGCCTCTGATGTGATGCAATCCTACCTCTAAACATGCACATTTGTTGGGATACCAGCCACATTTCATAGCTAAATACATCTGTTAGTCCTGGGTAAACACTTTACTAAATGAAGAGCAGATTTCAAAGTGTGTTGCAGTATTTAGAAATGTATGCCTTTGTTTAAATTCATCCCTAAACTCCAGACAATATCTCACACTGAGAAATCATCGCCTTAATTGTAGCCTAGCAAGATTCAAAATAAACTTTCTTTCAAAATGAGACTCTTAATGAAAATGTTCTAAAAGCCAGGCTCCTGAGTGAAGTGCTGTGTTACAGCCATTCTGAAATGACATTTATGTAGACTATCTAAAATGTTTATAGATTATAACATAGCGTTCTGTGGCTACCTATTTGTCTTTTTCCAATCATGTAACAGAAGAACTAATCATGATAAAGCCCTCAGTTTCAAAAATATTGCCTGCTTTTGCAGAGTGCCCCAAAGCCTCAGTAAGTCCAATCACTCAGTGCATGCACCATTAAAGGGACTTAAAAGCAATTTCAATACCTATGAAATACAAGCTCAAAATCAAAGGGCTTGTGGTGTTTCCCGGGGCCATTCTGTCACGTGAAGGTCATTACCCGGGCTCAATGTACTCTGCTTGTGTCCTGGTATATGTGGCCCATGCATGTTAGGAGTCCTATTGCTCTCGTGCTTGTCCACTGCAGAATGGGGACTTTGTCTTTCCTCTCCTAACTGTAGAAGTTGCAGTAAAAATAGCAGGGTGGGTCACCCATTTGGTGCACAGCCTTCGTCTCCTAACCTCACTGCCATCCTTGTGTTTCAACTATATTGAAAGATTTTTTCTATGATTCTAGAAGATTGTTTTAAAATATTTGCTTTAATATGAAAGAAGGATATGCTCATTCATCATCAGAAATGTTGCCAAAACAGCACTTCTTATCAACCATTGATGATGAATGGGAAGATCTTTTGTTAGTAGGGAAGAGAATATTACACACATCTTCTTGAGTCCTACCACAAATCTTCCTTAATAAAACCCAACTCATCAATTTGCACAAAGAATATGCTTTCAGTTGTAATGGGTATACTGACAACAGCAAGCACATCTAAGAAGACCTTTTGGGTACTGTGTTTTATATTTAAGAATAGAACAGCTGGACAAACTTAAATTGATGAAATTTGTTGCGGGGACAGAGCATCATCTTGCTATATAGTCTATGATGTTTCTTAACTATCAATCGAGAGTATGACTAGTACTAGATACTGTGTAGCTTTCTTTCAGTAGCTAGGGTAAGCACAGATTAAACAAAAGGGAATGTTAATTCACTGAAATGACTACAGCCCTGCATTCCCTCCACAGCTAGGGAGGATCTGTTATATGTCGGGTCTCCACACCTCTTGTAGTGCCTCTGTGCACAGTTCACAACTGTTGTCATGGAGGCAGCATCTAACTTTTCCCAGGAGACCTCCATTTGCCACTTGAAAATTTAGTTAGTAAACATGTTTTTAAGCCATCTGAAAATTCTGTATCAGTTGAAACGAAGTATGCTTTATTACTGTATGTATAATTCTTTTTACCTACAGGAAAAACTGATAAGGAACAAATTTAAATCCATTACTGTGGTCTAAGTGAGTTCACTGGTTGACAAGTAACCCTAAAATGAAGGGCCTAGGCATGGCACGTAGTGATCCGGCAGCACTTGTCTAGAACACTCTAGGCTATAGGTTTAATCCCCATCACCAAACAAAGAAACAGTCAAACAAGCAAACTGGTCTGGAGCCCTGGTTGTGTTAGTATCTCATGAGTCATTTCTGTCAGGATCCCTGACTGAGTCGTAGGTCAATTTTGCACCACTGGTTCCACTGATCTCCCTCAAGGCTACTATTATACCGGTCACTGGTGTGTCTGGCAAACAGGTGGTGCAATGTCCAGTTAATTCACAGTGGCAGCTGGAGGACTAGCGAGCAGTGCTCAGAGCACAAAGCCAGCGGGTTGCAGCATCACCAACCCTGACCTTGGACGGGCTGCGAGTCTGTTCAGTGGGCTCTCCCACACTCAGGGTTTTACACTGACAACTAAGAAGCCTCTCTTACCCTTCTTCTGGACAAGCAAAAGAGCTTGATAGAGTAGAAGGTAGAGTATTCAAATATTGTCACAATAGCTGGGGAAATTTCAGTAGGTCAAAGTGTTTCCAAATTCAAGTCACAAAATCCCTGTTTTCCTTTGGGTTGACATGGAGTCTTCACTGTAAGCATCCATTGGGTCTTGCTTGTGCCTCTGTTATCCCCAGTGACATTTAGTCCAGTGCAGATGTTGCCTCAAATCTCCATGGATGCCATATTTTAATTTAAAACACTTCCTAGTAATAAGCAAGTAATATAGGGTTAAATAAAATTGTAGTGCAACTTTTAATGTGTCAGAAATCCAGTTGGATATACTACCAAAGTTCTCACTATTAGGTGTAGGGTATAATGATTAGTCAGCCCTTTGTGCTTGTAGAAAATTACTGTTATTGGAAGTATGTTAATAGTTTCATGAAAGAGAGTATAATAAATTGTTGTCTAGTGTTAAAACCAAGAACTAAATCTTATTTCCATTATAGAGAAAGCACTTTTGATTTCTGCAGACTTTGGAGATATTTTTAGTAATATGATCATTATACTATGGGTGTACAGGAATATAATCATACAATTGTGTTCCTGAAACAATAAAGATTATAGCTTCACTGTCTTCTGCACTGATAAAGAGACATAGAGTACTTATGTAGGATTCCAGAAACTCACGTTATAAGAAATATTGGCAAGTATAGAAAGAATTCATGGGGAAACACCAAGTTAAAGAATGTATTTAAAACATTTCTCAGACATCAGTTTGGAGAATAAAATGGACCAAGTGATATCTTTGTATATAAACAAATTCAAAATAAGAATGTGATAATTTTGTTTTATTTTATTTTTTTTCCTCATTGAGTTTATTGGTACATTTTAGGTATACAGTATAGTTCCATTCATCATTGGGATCTTGTACCTTTACACGACAGGTCTTGTGTCTCATTTTTCCCCCTTGTTCCTGCCCTCCCTTCACCCCTCCTCCCTCCCCCTTTAATTTTGATCAATAATTTGAAAATGTCCATATGGAAAAATAGGTTTTACTGTACTATTTTTGTCCAGAAGGTAGACACTTTATAGGTGGAAGACAAATTTATTTCACTCAGCCTCACTGAGGTCCTCATCCTTTGCAACTCAGTTTCAATATCATTTATTGAAAACTGCTTCCTTACTTTGGTTATTTAAATTAGAACCTGTACCATTGTCTATCACAGCACCTGATCTCTTTAGTTCATAGTGATTATTACAATGTGCAATTAATGTTTATCTATGCACTTGAGTGTAAGTCCAAGGAAGGGCAGTGTCGTGTTTCATTCGTTCACTTTTGCATGACTGTCACTTAGGCTACGATCTACCACAAAGCATTCATTGTTTCTGCTAAATATGTGCTTTTTTTTTTTTGGTACCGGGGATCGGACTTGGGTCCTTGCGCTTGCAGGGCAGGCAGCGGAATCACTGAGCTAAATCCCTGGCCCTACTAAATATGTGTTTTGTAAGTGAATGAGTAACCTGGAAAACACTGGTTAAACAAAGTTTTCAGCAATACATTAGTATGGTGCACAAAGGTGATTTCTTGATTATTATGACAATTTTTTGTCATCTTTCAGGGGTGAGGTAGCTTTGAGCTGATTTGAATCAGAGGTGGCTGACTCTTTTGTGAAAGCCATCACTTGCATTTCTCAAGCTGCAAACTCAGTAAAATTATGACGATAATTTGAAACTGGTTATGATGGGAGTGTTTGCACCCTGAAGTAAGTGAATGTAAATACTTGCGCTGTTTTCACTTACCAGCACATCACTGGTATTACATTTTTGCCCCAGTAAGAAATCTGGGTGAAGAGGGCTCGAATTACCCCTTCTACTCTGAGTATCTGCTACTTCAACAAGGCAGTATTAAAATTCAGCTTTAGAAAATAGAGGATTAGGTTGTTTGGAATAACTCTTCTAATCGGTATAATCACAGGCTCTTGACTCAATATTTTAAAACATTTTATAAGAGAATACTATCAAGCTAGTGAGAATTTATGGAGAGTAATCTCACAGGCTGGTGGTATTAAAATTAAATTTAAGGTCTACTAAAAAAGAGATTTTTAAATGCTAAGAATTTAACTAGTAAATAGAAATAATGATGAAATAGAATAGAGTTAAAAATTGCAGCTTACTTTTGAAATGATCTGTACACTTTTTATGTATAATATCAGATACCTAAAAATATTCTGGGTTACAAGGGCAAAATTTGTCTAAAATTAAAATGTGAAAAGGATAACAATAGAGATTTGCAAGGCACTTTAGATTTCTATGGATGCTACACCAAGTAAGTACAAATTTAGTGAATTAATGTAAATTTAGTATCTTAGATATGGAGGCCCAGAGTCTGAAATGAGTCTCTCTGAGCTAAAGTCATATTGACAGCCGGGTTGTATTATTTCTAGAAACTCTAGAAGGAAACATATCTTTTCCTTCTTGAGATTATGGAGTTCACTGACATTCTATGGTTAGTGCCAATGAGCTTGAAGAAAATGCAGATTAATGATTCAGTACTCTAACAGAGAAACTTACATAAATGGAAACAATTCCAATTTAGGAAAGATATAGTACACAAAATCAACAAGCAAAAATCAATTGCATTACTGTATGCCAGCAATAGTGAACCTTTTAGA